CGGTACAATTACAATAGGAGCATGCGTGCAATATTAAGACATGACAGTAACGCGATCGCATTCGCACGTTATCAAGCATTTCGTCGTGTAAACAACTTTGTGGAAAACAACATCATTAAGTAAAACATAAATCGTCGAAGCATGCTACACAACGGCAAACAAGCAAATATTACACCATGGGACCGTCTATGCCGTCTAGTCTGGTGCGAAGCTCCTCGGGGGTGCACGAGGCGGTGACGGTCGGCGGCAGGCGGCCCCTGGATGAGGTCGGGCGATACGAAGTGATCGCCCGGCCTCGCCCAGGCGATAAGAAGACCGCCTGCGTGCCACCGACAGGCGAACACAGAACCGACGCGCCACCGACAGGCGAGCACAGAACCGACGCGCCACCGACAGAGCTGGCAGATCAAGGGGGCCCGCCGCTGCCGTCCCGGTGACGCGTTGGCATACAGCGGCACGTGGGGTGAACAGCGACCGCATAGCCGCCGGAGCCCACGAGTCGTCAAGGGCGCTGAAAACAGCGGGGCCATCACGGTGGGTGACAAGGTCACCATCACCGCGCCAGCCCAGCGCTTGAGCAGTCGCCGTCATCGATCTCACCGACGAGCATCGGTGACGATCCTGGCCCCAAAGTTAATCACCCCTTGCACTCTGTTTAGGTGACGCGCTGCAGCCCCACGTCAAACCGAGAGGCAGTACAGAAAATGAGGGAAAACATGGACTGGATGAAAGCTTTACGGACCTTGGGCGTAATCCATGTCGTGCATATCGTGGCACCATGTCATGGCATAGACCGTGCTTGTGGGCGCCATTTCTAGCTATCGCACAGTTTGGGAGTTCACGGGCTGCTTTGCGTTACACCAAATCAAATCGACGACTGGGGTGCGAACTACAAGTGGTGTCCTGGATGGCAACGACGCACCGGCATGAAGGGACCGTATTTGCCAGGGGGACGCCTCAGTTGTTTGCCACACGTTTTCGCCGCGGGTGCGATCCCCGCATTACACCGGACCAGACCGTTGAATGCGAGAGTGTGTCTCGGTGCCGCGTCTCCGGGTGGACCCGGCACCGGTGTACACCTGCGGGCGGCCGGACCCGGCACCGGTGTACACCTGCGGGCGGTCGAACCCGGCACCGGTGTACACCTGCGGCTGGCTGGACCCGACACCGGTGTACACCTGTGGGCGGCCGGACCCGGCATCGGTGTACACCTGCGGCTGGCTGGACCCGACACCGGTGTACACTTGCGGGCGGCCGGACCCGGCATCGGTGTACACCTGCGGGTGGCCGGACCTGACACCGGTGTACACCTGCGGGCGGCCGGACCCGACACCGGTGTACACCTGCGGGCGGGCGGACCCGGCATCGGTGTACACCTGCGGCTGGCTGGACCCGACACCGGTGTACACTTGCGGGCGGTCGGACCCGGCATCGGTGTACACCTGCGGGTGGCCGGACCCGGCACCGGTGTACACCTGCGGGCGGCCGGCCGGGCCCGGCACCGGTGTACACCTGCGGCTGGCTGGACCCGACACCGGTGTACACCTGCGGCCGGCTGGACCCGACACCGGTGTACACCTGCGGGCGGCCGGCTGGACCCGGCACCGGTGTACACCTGCGGCTGGCTGGACCCGACACCGGTGTACACCTACGGCCGGCTGGACCCGACACCGGTGTACACCTGCGGGCGGCCGGCTGGACCCGGCACCGGTGTGCACCTGCGGGCGGCCGAGCGCCCGGCTCGGGCAGGCGGAAGCCAGGCTCATTCATTGGAGGCTTCCCCACCTGTCTGCATGTTCCCACCGTTGCTGGACAAATTGGCTAATTAGAGTGTGCAGCCGGCGAGCAGTGCATGTTCAGAGCTCGAGGTCCTCGGACAGCAGAATAACTGGGGACAGTGACCGGCAGATGATCCGACCCTTAGACGGACCGACACATTGCCTCATGGGCATGCCACCGATGAACAGATGACCCTCAGATGAGCCGACACATTGCCTCATGGGCATGCCACCGATGAACAGATGACTCTCAGACGGACTGACACATCGCCTCATGAGCATGCCACCGCTGAACAGATGACCCTCAGACGGGCCGACACATCACCTCACGGGCATGCCACCAATGAACAGATGACTCTCAGACGGACCGACACATCGCCTCATGGGCATGCCACCAATGAACAGATGACTCTCAGACGGACCGACACATCGCCTCATGGGCATGCCACCAATGAACAGATGACTCTCAGACGGACCGACACATCGCCTCATGGGCATGCCACCGGTGAACAGATGACTCTCAGACGGACCGACACATCGCCTCATGGGCATGCCACCGACGAACAGATGATTCTACACGCATGCCACCCATGGACAGTTGAATTCGCACAACCAGTATTCTGAAAAGGTCTTCCGCTATTTCAAGGCCCTGACTGTTCCGCAGGGCATGGTCCATGGTCCATCGCTTTCTCGAGATCCATTAGTTGTTGAAGCGGTAGTGTAGCTGCGCGTCTGGGAAACCAGAGATATGGAGTTCGATTCTCCGCGTTGCCCGCCTTCCCCGCCGGAGTGAAAGGCAGGCAGCGCCGTGTGGCCTGAGCAGCTGAGTGCGTCGTAAAGTCCCAAAGCCCCTAATCCTGAGCCGTTCAATACGAAGGCGCATGGATACACGGCTGAGCTGCCAGATACTCGTTGATTTGAATCTTCTGTCGGGTGAACAGACGGACGCGATTGTCAGCGGCTCCAGGCGACTGTCAGCGACTCCAGGGAGCTGTCAGCGACTCCAGGGAGCTGTCAGCGGCTCCAGGGAGATGTCAGCGGCTCCAGGAGACTGCCAGCGGCTCCAGGGAGCTGTCAGCGACTCCAGGGAGATGTCAGTGGCTCCAGGGAGCTGTCAGCGACTCCAGGGAGCTGTCAGCGACTCCAGGGAGCTGTCAGGGGCTTCAGGGAGATGTCAGCGGCTCCAGGGAGATGTCAGCGGCTCCAGGAGACTGCCAGCGGCTCCAGGGAGCTGTCAGCGACTCCAGGGAGCTGTCAGCGACTCCAGGGAGCTGTCAGCGGCTCCAGGGAGCTGTCAGCGACTCCAGGGAGCTGTCAGGGGCTTCAGGGAGATGTCAGCGGCTCCAGGGAGCTGTCAACGGCTCCACGGAGCTGTCAGCGGCTCCAGACAGCTGTCAGCGACGGCACGGCAGCTCCGGCCGCCGGCTCTTCGGGCCGCGCCGCGGGCGACACGGCGGGTGCAGCCCCGATGCTGACCCCGATGTGTCGCCGCCGAGCCGGCCGAGCGCGCGCCACCAATGCGCGTCACCTGACTCAGATGACGATCTGGCGCCGCCACCTGACTCAGATGACGATCTGGCGCCGCCACCCTCTCCGACCGGAACAATGGCTGCCGGCCGGACGGCAGCACGAAAAAGCCGGGCGGCGCGGCGCGTGCTTTACCCTCTACCGGGCATGCATAACCCCGGCGCGCTAATGGCCGGCTGTACCCTTGAAAAGGTGGACGGTTTTATTGTGCAGTCTGCCCAATCGCCGGCGCACGAACCGCGACGCCGTCTGTTGTAACCGGACAGAACAGCACGGGGAGCGCGCTGGGCAGGCCAGCGGCACTTTCACGTTCCGTTCGGATGTGGGCACCGCGCGACGAGGGATGCGAAGCGAAGCTGTCGATTTATCCCGAATCACTAAGGCGACAAATCGTCCGTCAAAGTCTTACGTCATGCCGACGAGCCGATGTCGAAGACTGCCGGAGGTGTTACCAGCATGCTGTGGCCCGTGCCGTCGCGCCGCACCTCTGTTCCCCGCCGTGCTGTCGCCCTGGACCTCCGTCCCCATCGGGCCGTCGCACCGGACCTCCGTCCCCGCTCGGTCCCCGTCGGGCCGTCGCACCGGACCTCCGTCGCTCGCGGTGCCGTCGCACCGCGCCCCCCCCCCCCCCCTTACCGTGCCGCTCTGAGCAGCGGCCAGCCTCTCGGCGTCCGCCGCTGTGTCGGGAGCTCTCCAGATGCTCTCGGCGGCCTGACGTGCTCTGCTATGACACGCGGGGCCGGGCCCGAGTGCAGTGCAGCGTCGGCGGACAGCGGCGGGCCACTCACCGCCACTGTTGTGACGGCTCTGTGTGGTCCCTTCGCGCTGATGAAAGGCGGGACACACCAGCGGCAGCGCTATCGGCCGCCTCCTGCGGCTGCCTGCAGACGGCGAGCGCTGGAGCGTTCGCAGACGCCACGATTCTCGTGCGCTTCCTCGAACTGCAGGAGGCTCGAGTAGCGGCGGCGATAACCCTTCGCGGCTAATTTCACACCTCTTAGTGCGTTTGTGGACGAGCGGCGCCAGCCGCGGCAGTCTTTGTTATCGGCCGCCGGGACAGCCAATCAGCACGTTCGTCGTCGCGCGCCGCCGGGTGACGTCACGTGACGGGGTGACAGATCATTTCACATCGGACGGGTGCGGCCAAGCCGGCCAGCCCCAGTGACCTTCTGAGAGGCGCCGCCATCCGTGACCCGCCCCGCCCGCCGACCCCGCTCAGTCGCGTGACCGATTACCGCCTTCAGAGCGGGAGGGGGAGGGGGAGGGGGACCTCGCTCGACGCCGTCGCTCGTGACGGCCGGCGCGCGGCAGCTCAGGCCCGCTCTCTCGGCCCATCGCCGCGGGCGCGTGGCGCGCCGCCGGGAGCCGACCACAGTGGGCCCGGCTGTGGTCGGCCGGTCGACGCCGCCCGTTTATTTACGGACGGCTGCTGGTGTCCGCTGCAGATTGATCGAGCGCGTCCTGGGCAGAGGCGAATCAGCTCAATCTAGATGCGCTGCAGCTCGCGCCGGCCGCCATCCGAGCGAGCTGTGCGGCCCGCGGCGAGCGCGCTAGATGGATTTGAACGGCGCGGACGCAGCCGCCGCTGCGCCGCCGGCCGGCTCCGGCTCGACCGACGCCTGCACGCCCGACCCGACGGACGAAGCGGGCGGGTACGTGGCGTATCGGTCTGACACCCTGCTGTTTTTGTTTCAGAACCAGGGCCTGGGCTCGAATCTCGAGACTACGTGCGATGGCGAGTGTAGGGCGTATCAGGTGAGTCGCTGCATTGGGCGGTGCTTTGTTTATCTTCTATATAAACGGACGAAATGGAGTTGATGATCCTTATCCTTCGTTGTTTTAACCTCCGTTGTTTTGACCTCCGGGACGTGTGCATTGCGCTCTTGTGTTCTAAAGCAGTTAACCAGTAGGCACACTCTGTAAACCTTAGCAAACTGCTCATAATGCTAACATTTACCAGCCAAATTCAAATGTGCAGTCTATGATGACGGAGAAATAACGCCTGGACTAAGGATGTGACGAAACATCATGCATATTTCTAAGGATGTAATGAATTATCACGCTTATCTGGCGTTTTAGCAACCAAACCTTTTCCTGAATTATTCTGTATCAAACAAATATTTAACACGCGTCACCAGAAGTCACGTTCGGGGCCTGCTGACCAGGCATACACTTCCCCGTATGTCGCCGCTCCCCCGAGTTTGAACACAGCATCACCCCGTGGACCGAGCGTGCTCGGTTCGTGGGGTGCTCGGTTTATCCCGGCCGGCCGGCCGTGCGCAGCGGCTGTTTGTCGGAGCGCTGGGACGGCTTCCGCCGGCCGGGTTCGGCGGGCAGTGTAATCCGCTCGCGCGCGCTCGCCGTCCCACGGCCGGCCGCCGGCCGCGCAGACCGAATCGGCAGGTACGTGGTAAAAAGTGTCCATCACGACCGGCGCCACAATGCTGGCCGCTAATCTCTTTAGTATGGGCGCTGATCGTTTCCGCAGCCGGCTGAAAGCAGAGGAAGTTCCGGCTTTATTCGCGGAGTGGGCCGGCGTCACTGCGCCAGGGCGACAGGGGGAGGGAGGTGCCCGACGGAATCACGCCCCTGCTGCGGGCGTGGTGGTGCGGGAAAGCCACCGCCACAGCTGAGTCTCGCCGATGCTGCGACGGCTGGGATGCGATGGGAGGCGCTGTAATGAACGCCCACAAATGTTTCGGGTATAGTGATTCAAGGAGGCGTCGCCTCAACAGAGCCACACCAACACTTGGGACGGGGCTGCATCGGGATAGACTAAGTCACAACGGAACCAGAACAAGACTCGGCACGAGACAATACGGAATGGGGCGGCATGGGCATGGCCCGACACAAGAGAACCACAACAACGCTGGGGATTAGCGATGTTGGAATGGACTGACACTGCGGCGTCGTACCACCTATGTCTGAGGGTATGGGTATGCCCTATGGCCTATGGGTAGGACCTATGGGGGAATGATCTGCGGCGCGGAGCGATGCGCGGGACGTTCGTAGTCGCCGCGGGCGTCCGGCCAGTCGGCACCAGCGGGAGATCGCGCGCCGCCACTGCCACTGCGCGGCCCGCCCTCAATGGGATGTGACTGCAAGTCACGCTGGGCGGGGCGCCGGCTCCAATCACACCGCGAACAAAGGTGCCAGCAGGCGACAGCGTCGGGTTTTCCGCCGTCACCTCGGCCGGTGCGACCCGTTCAGTGCGCCCCCTGACCTCCGGTGTATGGTCGAGGACCGAGCCGAGCTCAGTGGGTCCGGAAATGAGCTCCCCTCAGCCAGCGGCCACCGGACGGCGCGCCTCATGGGCGGCCATTTTGTTGCGGTGCCCCTGGCGTGTTTGCGGCGAGAGGAGGTGTATTATGCTGCAGCGGCCGCGACCCCGCGTGTGGGTTCGATTCATTTGATCAGCGCTGCGCCGGATGTTTTATTTCGGCGCATTTTCAAACAGGCCCCTTCCGGAGCGACACGTGAAAGCATTCGTCCCACCCGTCCAGGGGTTTCCAGGCCAAAACAGTGACGTGTGTATGTATGTGTGTGTGTGTGTGTGTGTATGTGTGTGTGGACATCCGCCATGGTGGCTGGTCATAACCGCCACACAATTACTGCGGATGAATCACGTGACAAAACAGCGCCGCGCTGCTAGACATCCGAGTCACGGGGTGGCATCGCTGTGAGCGAGTGTTCGCCAGCTCTAACCGGACTACCCCAGCCCGTGTCTTACATCCCTGTAAGCTAGTGTTTGCCAGCTTTAACAGGACTACCCCAGCCCGTGTCTTACATCTCTGTAAGCTAGTGTTTGCCAGCTTAACAGGACTAGCCCCAGCCCGTGTCTTACATCGCTGTAAGCTAGTGTTTGCCAGCTCTAACCGGACTGCCCCAGCCCGCGCCCCACATCGCTGCACCGCCTGACCGCTCGGACAGTGCAGTCAGCGCGATCGGTGCGTCAGGTGGATGTGGCCGTATGGTTTTTGTCACGAGCGTGCTTCTCGCGTTTTCAGTGCAATAAAGGATGCGCCGGCCAAGACCGATCTTTGGAGTCGTCGTGTAAACACTTTTGTGTAAGTATTTTATATTTAAGCGATCAAGTATCTACCACCTGGAAACAGCGTTTTTAGTTCACGGCCTTCCGGAGCCAACACGTTAAACGCCAAAGTGGATGGAGTGAATTGTGTGATAGAGGCTTTCATTGGTACGAAATGGAAGTCCGTATTTGCCAGATCCGTCCCCTTTCTATGGAGCGTTGGTCATAGTTGGCTCTTCACAACCTTTGGGCATTTGTTACGAGTCAACGTTCCCATTTTCGATGGTTGTAGTTCTAGATTATGAGAGTTTTACTTAAACGTAGCACCTCACCATTTTCCATTCACATTTACAGCGGTATTATTTGTCATGCATATGTCGGTTATTTCTTAAGTCGCCTACTCGCGCTAATGCGCTTATCTGTGATCTGCTAAATACACTGATCCGACCCGGACCGGCATCCCATTCTGTATGGCCCCATCGATTTACCCGATCCCCGGCGGTCATTAGTTCGCCATCTTGTTCTGACCTGGCGCGCTGCGTGACCTGCAGATCGATGACGACCCCGTGTCAGCGCAGGGCGGCCGCTGGTACTGCGTCATCGGCTGTAACATAGCCGTCAGCAGATACGTGCAGGGGCTGAGAGGTAAGTTACTCTCACTTCGCGCTCCTCGACTGCCCGTTGATGCGCCGTCATCCAGCGTTTTCAGCTGTGTTTTGGGCCCCACGCGCGCATGCTGTCCTGCTGACGGGGGGGGGGGGGGCAGCCCTCCTCGACGCGTACTTACTCAGCGGCCCGCTCTCTGCGAGCGTCAGCCAGCAGCCCTCCTCGACACGCACTTACCCAGCAGCCCGCTCTCTGCGAGCGTCAGCCAGCAGCCCTCCTCGACACGTACTTACTCGGCGGCCCGCTCTCTGCGAGCGTCAGCCAGCAGCCCTCCTCGACACGTACTTACTCAGCGGCCCGCTCTCTGCGAGCGTCAGACAGCAGCCCTCCTCGACACGTACTTACCCAGCAGCCCGCTCTCTGCGAGCGTCAGCCAGCAGCCTTCCTCGACACGTACTTACTCGGCGGCCTGCTCTCTGCGAGCGTCAGCCAGCAGCCTTCCTCGACACGTACTTACCCAGCAGGCCCGCCTCTCTGCGAGCATCAGCCAGCAGCCCTCCTCGACACGTACTTACCCAGCAGCCCGCTCTCTGCGAGCGTCAGCCAGCAGCCCTCCTCGACACGTACTTACTCGGCGGCCCGCTCTCTGCGAGCGTCAGACAGCTGCCCGCCACAGTGCAGCGTTGGTGCCAGAGACCTGCGCCATCTAACAGCGTGAGGCCGGCGACACAATACAGCTTTGGGGCGTGCCCTGATGAGAAAGCAACCAGGGGTGGTAACCGACGGGACCAGGGGAGATGTCCGACGGGACCAGGGGCGAGCTGTCCTGTCCTGAACCAGACCGTCTCCTGTCCAAACTGTCCTGTGCGTCCTCAGACTGGCGCGTATGTTTGTACATACATCGTGCGATGCCGTGCATGAGGATTATCTGAACTGGAGATTGTGACTGGTGATCGTTGTGGCTGGTGATGACTGGTGATCGTTGCGGCTGGTGATGATGACTGGAAATCATTGCGACCGGTGATGATGACTGATGATCGTTGTGACTGTTGATGATGACTGGTGATCGCTGTGACTGGTGATAATGACTGGCGATCGTTGTGACCGGTGATAATGACTGGTGATCGTTGTAGCTGGTGATGATTGGTGATCGTTATGACTGGTGATGATGACTGGTGATCTGTTGTGACTGTGTTCGCTCGACCAGTGCTGCTCTTATTCGCGCCAGGTTTTCTCAGCTGTGCAGCGTCTCTCTGTCGACCCTCCTCGCCGAGCAGAGGAGAGCTCGACCGAACAGCCGACTCGCATACGTTTTAATGCCCACTTAAGTCGGATTGGATTGCTCACAAACCTGCTATGATGTGTCGAATCATTCGGCGGTAGACTTGCTCCGCGTGCTTGTCTTACGTTGAATGCGTCGCCCTTTGTACGCACTCCCCTGTGTGTCGTGGAGCGTTTACGTACACAGCAGTGTCAGGCACAAGGATTCAGAATGTTTGTTTAACCGTCTCTGGCGCCTGGTCTGTTGAGGCGTAGTTTCACATAGCCTCTACAGTACCAGCTCTGTTTACATGCTCATTTTCCGCTTGTCATATCAGCCACGTGTACTGTGGTTGTTCTTGCTTCAGACCACTCACCTCCGAGTAAGTGACGTACGACGATTATATGCTGTCTTTTTGCAAAGACTCTCACTCGGGGTTCCAGCAAGCAACATCGAACCCTTGCTTTTGCAGCATTCAATCTTCACGTGATTATTTGTTCGGTAGCATTACACCTGACGCAACACGCCATGTTTCAACAGCTTCTCAGTGACTGCATTTGCAACACGTGCTCTCAGCAAGACCACGTTAGCGTTAACGCCGTCACTCGTCACCTACCGGAATAAATGTGTCGCCATCAGTACAAACAGATGGCCTGCCTGACCGGCTGTCTGTTTGCTCTGTCTGCTCCGTCTGATCTGTCTGGTCTGTCTGTCTGTCTGACGCAGACAAGCTGAAGCTGGAGGCGCCTACGTTAGTACCTGACTCGCTGACTCATGACTCCGTCACCATTCGGTGGATGAGTCCCCACCTGCCCCATGCGACCCTCCTCGTCCAATACAAGTGAGTGCCGACCAAGTCGAGGCATTGTACCCAGTGCGGGATTGCGTCAGCGCTGAATACTTAAAACTGCAGGAGTAGCCAGCTATACATTTTTGACTTCAGACTGCTTGCTAGGCGACTTTGCAAGTGATTGCATCACATTAATGGCACGAAAGGCACTTCATGTTTTAAACCAATGCAAGGATTTACAGCTCTCGTAATCTTCTAGCTCTTAACTTAGCGAAAACATCCACTTCTTGCACTTGAGATGATGCCTATGCTGTTGCTGAAATTATCCGTGAGTGTCCAGTGAAATGCGAGGCCAGGTGGATGCTGCATCTACTGCATCTTATGGCGCCGTGACCTAGCGGGAAGCATATGCGAGGCAGCTCCGGTGGTCTCATCAGGGCCACATGAGACGCCTTCCGACCGGGTTATTGATTTAGAGCACCCTTACAGGTACTCCGATCTTCCGGGAGAATGGACCTTCTACCAGCCGGATGTGAAACTGAACGCGAGCCAAGTTACTGTCACTGGTTTGAAGCCCTACACCAAGTATCAGGTGAGATACACAGACATGGGGAGAGATCGTTCAGTTCTACCTTCTCCCATCAGATCGCGACATTTTCAGAGCCGATTCGATCAGTTTTACGATTGCGAAACAAATCGCGAAGACTATGACGACTTGAAGATCTAAATCTGTCATCGAAGTGATTACTGATGCATGAAGATGGCATTCATGTTAAGTTGGAAAATCAGCAAACAATACCGGTTAATTTATATATCGATGGAAACGTATGCCCTTGATCACGCGAGCAGACAGACCGTAACAGTCACTTGTGTTCTTGGCTGCTGCCACTGAGCAGTGCTTGAACCATACCTGGGGATGCCGGTGCTGGGCAGGACATCGAAGTACACCAAGTTACAATGTTGTGACGCTGGCCAACCTGCGATTAACTGCACCATGGCACGCTGTGCTGGTTACCCATTACATGGTAGGTCGTGGTCAGTGGGCTTGACAACTCATGAGCACTAGCAGATCGCCACAGCTGGCGGTACGTTGTCAGGAGCGGGGGGGGGGGGGGGTCGGTCTGTCATCTGGCTCAAAATTTGTTGAAGATGGATCAGCAAGGACCCCGACAAAACCCAAACGTAGCCAGCCGAGAGCGCGCGAGCCGCTCCAGACGGATGCGTGCGAATCAGCTGTGTCGGTGCCGGGGCGGCGACGGGCGCTGTTGTCAGGGCCAGCGGGGTGGAGTGCGCCGGGGGCGAGCCTGGCTCCTGTCCAGACGCTGTCTGCGCGCCGTCGGCCGCCGACACCGCAGACGTGCGCCGCGCACAGAGTCGGCTGTAAACACGCGCCGTCCGTCACCGGCGCGTCGGCTGTGGCGACGGCGGTCCCGGCGCGGCGCAGCGCCAGGACCGCCGCCCTTGGTGACACCGACCAGGGGCGTCGGTGTCACCAAGGGGCGTCACCCTGAGCCCTGCCAAGGAGAGAGAGAGAGAGAGAGAGAGAGAGAGAGAGAGAGAGAGAGAGAGAGAGAGAGAGAGAGAGAGAGAGAGAGAGAGAGAGAGAGAGAGGAGAGAGAGAGAGGAGAGTGTGTGTGTGTGGTGTGTGTGTGTGTGTGTGTGTGTGTGTGTGTGTGTGTGTGTGTGTGTGTGTGTGTGTGTGTGTGTGTGTGTGTGTGTGTGTGTGTGTGTGTGTGTGTCAGCGTGCTGCTAAGCGGAAGATCAGGTTTCGTGACGTGGGGCTTGGTGCTCACCTTCAATATGCATGCGAAGCAATAAAACACTGGTGCGTGTTGGCATTTATGGGTACGGTACGTCAGCTGTGAAGCTATTTTGCGCGTTGTAAGATACTTCAGTCGCGTGATGGACTGACCAATGAGTACTCCCAACAGAGAGACTGCCCTGTTTCATTTGATTCCCGGAAGTTGTTTTCAGTTAGTGTGAGCCACCACCAGTAAATGTGCTTCGATTTGTACGGGGTATTTCGAGCAGCGTCCACCGTAAGCATTATATCGTATCAGACACTGCACCGTCGGCGCGTGGGGCGCCTCCGCTGGGCCCGCCATCTGCTCGTAGGGCGCCTCCGCTGGGCCCACCATCTGCGCGCGGGACGCCTCCACCGGGTCCACTGTCTGTGCGTGGGGCGCCTCCGCCGGGCCCGGCGTGCCTTCCAGCGTCAGCTGACGCCAGCCGATCCACCCGGCAGTTCCGCGTGCTTTGGGCCGTGGCCGCCGACCAGGAGCCGCTGCCCGGCGCCGCCAGCCACGCCATCTCGACGCTGGCGCGCGGGCCGCCGGCGTCGGCGCCGACCGAGCTGTCGGCGTCGGCGCCGGACGCGCACCACGTCTCGGTCAGCTGGAGGCCGCCGCTGTTCCCGTCCGGCCCGCTGGTCAGCTACGTGTTGGTGCTGAGCTCGGGCGGCGACGGCGGCGGCAGCGGCGGCGGCGGCGGCGGTGGCGGCGGCGGCGCGGCGGCCGAGATCGCCGCCCACCTGCACTCACACGTGCTAGGCGACCTGCGGCCCGACACCAACTACACGGTGCGCGTGTGGGCTAACAACAAGGTCGGCGAAGGGCCGGCCGCCGAGCTGCGCGTGCGGACGCCGCCGCAGGCCGCAGAAGGTGAGTCGGCCAGGTGGCAGCCGAGTCGCGGGCCATCGTCGGAAGCCAGGGAACTCCGCGGCTGCTCGGAGCTCAGATGGCACAGCGGCAGCCGGCTTATGGCCCATCTGCTGCGATGGCATGGGATGATGATCGATGTCCATAAATCGTCACGAACAACATATCTAAGCATAACTCAGCATGAGTTTGGACTTGGTTGTGTGTTTGTGCATTGACATGAGTTGATGTCACGCCGTCGGTTGCCCTTCTTCGATTCACACTTCCGTTATTAGGTGACGCATCAACGCTTCTTGGCAAAATCTGCCCTTCACGAAAGGCCATTCCCTCCTGCAAGTCATCAACATCGCGAGAACGGCAGTGCCTTCTCACCGCCTGCCTCCCGTGTGCCCGCAGTGTCGACCCGGCAGGGCCCCTTGCTGGTCATCGCCACAGGTGACGTCATCATGCGGCTCAAGATGGACATCTACTCGCGGCCGCAGACACTGTACAGAGCGGAGGCCGGCCAGAACATCACAGGTCTGTTTATTGGCACAGCGTAGTGCACGGCCCGCAGTGACAGTCGCGCCCGCTGCGCATACCGATGCACTGTCCTGTCACGCCGCCCGGCAGCCCCGCCCGGATACGCGGGCTTCCCTCCGCCGGCCGTGACGGCTGACGCGCTCCACTGTTAGAACGTCACGCCTACCGATCCGTCCGTGTCGGCTGTCGACTCGACATGAGCTTCTTCAGTCATGTTGGCTGACGTTCGGACGACGCCGCGCCGCCGCGTGAGGCGCGCGGCCCCCCGTGACCCGACCGGTGCGGCGTCCCCGCAGGCTCGGCCGTGGACGTGTCGACCGCCCGGCTGTACCTGGCCTCCTCGGCCGGACGGGTGTGGCGCCTGGCGCTGGACGGGTCGGAGGACGAGCCGCCGCCGCTGGACGTGACGCCGGCCGGGCTGACCGGCCGGCCGGCGCTGCTCGCCCTCGACTGGCTGGCCGGCGCGCTGTACGTGCTGGTGGCGCCACCCGGTGGCGGCTGGCGCGTGCAGCGCTGGCAGCTGGACGGCGGCGTTGCTGTCGACACGGGCCTCAGCTTCGCCAGCCGGCCGGCCCACCTGGCCGTCGACCCGCAGAACGGGTAAGCCACGACCTAGCTCCGGATGAGTGTGGTCGGCACGAGGCGGTGCCGAACGACCTCGACCGCTCAGGTCAGGTCAGGTCAGGTCTGCCGTTCTCTAAACGGTTTTACTAAACCAATACGCTGGTTGATTCCTGATTTGCTAATAGAGTCGCTAATAATCTAATAATGCACGTGTTGACTTCCCTAGCATGGTCATATTCTGGCGAAATTGGATCCCGCTTAGCTGGCTTATTGAGATGCATGTCATCCGCTGTCGGCCTCTGTAGCCGGCCGAACGGCGGGAGCTGGCGCCCTCTGTCGGTCAGCCGCCGCCTGTTGCGCGGACCCCGCCAGCCACGCGATACCGACGCTGCCCCTGTGTGACGCCGCCGGCCGCTCACGCCCGGGCGGCCACTGTGATCTGCTGGTGGACGCGGCTGCCTCGACCGAATACAAACAAGCAGGCCTCACTCAGGCATGCTGCAAATTCTTCCAAGTGAGACATGCCAACTGGTTGACCCGGGCCACGCTAGCTTTGCCGCCCTCACGAACGTGTTGCCGCGTTTCGCCTTCATTGGCTTCAACGTGCGCTGGATCGGCGTAAAGGGAAATGCTGGGCCAAGACACGTGCGCGCCTCTCAGGTACCTGTACTACTCGGTCGAGTCCCCGGCGGCGGAAGCGGGCCTCTTTCGGTGCAGCTTCAGCAACATGACGGCCGTCGCGCGCGTGACGTCCGGCGCAGAATTCAGCTTCAGCACGTTCGTGATTGATCACACCAACTTCAGCGTGCTGGTTCCGGGGCGCAGCAAGAACACCGTCTTCGCACTTTCCATGATCAGGTGAGTCGCAGGCCCGCGGCTGCGGCGATTAGAACCACCAGAGGCCTGTGGCCTATGTGGTCTGAGCCGTCGTTACGCATGCTGTGGCTCTGCAGTTAACTCCGCAGTCAGACACCAGACGGCCGCGACCTGGTCCGGGACGTTCATCCAGTTTGACGAGTGACACACTTTGCACAGCTAAGTGCGCCACGCTTACGTAACGACATCAACTCAGTTTGTTTCCTGCTCTCCGCTCTCAGGCCGCTCAACCAGAGGGCCGTGCCGTCCACTGACCAGGTCCAGTGCTGCTGCAGTGCAGTCTCACCCCGCGCGCCCGTTGCCCGCGGGTCGCGTGTGCGCCGTGTCCGCCTCCGCTGACGTGCGTGCCGTCTGCCCCGGCAGCTGGACGGCGATGGACGTGCGCCGCCACACCGTGCGGCCGCAGTACGCGGGCATGCTGGCGCTGGCCGAGCACGCCGAGACGCTCTGCTGGTCCACCGGGCAGCACGTGTTCCTCGAGTCGTACCGCGCCGAGCGCGGCACGTACTACAACAACCAGCTGCTGTTCTCGCAGACGCGGCGGCCCGTGGTCAGCCTGCACGTGCAGCACCCGGCGGCGCAGCCGCGCCCGGCGCCGGCCGCGCCGCCCCGCCACCTGCAGGTCAGAGCCGCCCCGCTCGTCACGTGACGCAGCGGGTTTGGCGTCACGAGTCGGGAAATGAGCCTTTGATGACACGGAACGAGGCAGAACGACGCTTTTTGCCGCTCAGTGCTGGCATTTGGCGGGACGATGAGATACATTGTTTGTTACGCGGTCCGTCATTTGGGGCAGCGCGTGCACCTGAAATTTCCCACAGTATGGAACTGCCTGAGGCCGATTAAATACCATGCTGCAGCGTAGGCAAACGTTTTCGATACGAAGCTCACTTTCCCATGGTTTTAGCGGGATGCATGTGGCGCCTACCCGTCTGCCTCAAACGGAAGCCGCCTCCCAGCTGAGTCTCTGACTGCGGTCGTGACCGGACCTGCCGGGCCGGCCCACTGTCGCCGTGTGACGCCGTCTCCCCTCGCCAGGTGGTGTTCCACTCTGACCGAGCGCTCACCCGCTGGGCACCGCCCGACCTGCTGCGCCGGCCCACTGTCGCCGTGTGACGCCGTCTCCCCTCGCCAGGTGGTGTTCCACTCTGACCGGGCGCTCGCCCGCTGGGCACCGCCCGACCTGCCGGGCCGGCCCACTGTCGCCGTGTGACGCCGTCTCCCCTCGCCAGGTGGTGTTCCACTCTGACCGGGCGCTCGCCCGCTGGGCACCGCCCGACCTGCCGGGCCGGCCCACTGTCGCCGTGTGACGCCGTCTCCCCTCGCCAGGTGGTGTTCCACTCTGACCGAGCGCTCGCCCGCTGGGCACCGCCCGACCTGCCGGGCCTAGCCGGGCCGGACGCCTGGAAACAGTGGACCTACCAGCTGAGGGTCACCGCCGCCCTCGGCGACCAGCAGCTGACCGTGGACAACACCACCGACACCGAAGCCGCCGTCGACGAGCTGACCCCGGACACCGAGTACACGCTCCAGGTCAGTCCCCCGGTCTGACCCCGGACACCGAGTACACGTTCAGGTCAGTCCTCGGGTCTGACCCCGGACACCGGTACACGCTCCAGGTCAGTCCTCGGATCTGACCCCAGACACCGAGTACACGTTCAGGTCAGTCCTCGGGTCTGACCCCAGACACCGAGTACACGTTCAGGTCAGTCCCCGGGTCTGACCCCGGACGCCGAGTACACGTTCAGGTCAGTCCCCGGGTCTGACCCCGGACATCGGTACACACTCCAGGTCAGCCTCTGGGCTACTACACCTGCTACTACTGCTTCTTCGGGAGGCTACAGGACCATGTTCGGGTGTAATTGACACCCCAAACATAATGCATCAATACAATGTCTATCTGTGGCTTCGTGACAACTTCTCGGGTGCTACCCCTGCGTCTCCGTCTGACCTCCCACCTCGCGTCTCTGGTCCGGGCGCTCTCGGTGAGCGGTGCCTGCTGCCCTCTCTCCCCGGTCTCACCTCCCTCTTGCCGCCTCAGGTCCGGGCGCTCTCGGTGAGCGGTGCCTGCGCCCTCTCTCCCCGGTCTCACCTCCCTCTTGCGCCTCAGGTCCGGGCGCTCTCGGTGAGCGGTGCCTGTGCCCTCTCTCCCCGGTCTGACCTCCGCTCCCCTCGCCGCCAGGTCCGGGCGTTCCTCGGTGAAGTGGTGTCTGTGACCCTCTCTCCCACGGTCTGACCTCCCTCCTTCCCGCCTCAGGTCCGGGCGCTCTCCGGGTGAGAGGTGTCGGGCCGTGGTCGGCAGGGGGCGCCGTTCCGAGGCCGCACGCTGGAGCGCCGTCTGGACGGCGCGGGCCGCTGTCTGCTCTGGTCGACGAGTTGGCCTGCTGATCGGACGCCATCGGAGACCGGCCACCGTGCTCGTCCAGTCGGGCCAGCTTCAAACGTGAGTCCCGGCACGGATCGACTTATCTGGGGGTATGCTCATGGGCGGGACACATGGTACTCGTCAAGCTTCACATGAGGCCGGCACGGAGCGACTCTGGGGCGCTCATGCGGCGGGACACATGGGGGGTGTACTCGTCAGCTTCAACATGAGGCCGGCCCGAACGACCTGGGGAGGGCTCAGGAGGCGGGACACATTGCACTCGTCAGCTTCAACATGAGGCCGGCACGGAGCGACTCTGGGGCGGCTCAGGAGGCGGGACACATTGTACTCGTCAGCTCCAACATGAGGCCGGACGGGTGGGAGGGAGCGGCCCAGAGGGAGGACCCCACGTGCCAGTCAGTTTCGCCGTGAAACCGGGTAGTGCAGATCTGGGAGGGAAAGGACCAGGGGGGGGGGGGGCTAGAAGCACACTTTACTTGTCAGTTAACTTGAGGTCAGCATGGGTATATTCCACGCATTAAACAATGTATACCCTCCGGGAGCATTTTTACAGCGTACTTTTGTGTAGACACATAATGCTTTGTAGGGCATAATGTTTCAATTTAACCAGCGACCTCCTGTTACGTCATCACTACGCCTGTGTTTTCCCGTTGCAGGCTACTGGGAAGACGAGCATTCACGTATCTGATCTGACGTGGTGCGATGACGTCATGTACCTGGCGACCAATGACTCACGCGTCTATACGCATGACCTGAAGTCGGGTCAGCTGCAGCCGCTGGACGAATCCATCCAGGCCACCGCCTTGGCTGTTGACTGGATCGGCAGAAAGCTTTACTGGTCGAACCCCGTGCAGCAGCTGGTGAGCTACTCATATCACCTACCGCTGCATCCCTGCACATGCAGAAGCATCATAGTGAGGCGCTGACACGTCGTCTGTCGTTGGTTCAGAGCCTTTGGTACTTCTGTCATTACGTGATGTTTAAAGTCAACGCAGCATGGTGTCGCCATCAAACTTGACTGGTCGCGCAGCCGACAGTGGTGGTCGGTAACCGGTGAGGCGGCAGCCTGTCAGCGCTGACGGCCGGCAGTGGCCACCATCGGCAGCCGCTGCGGCCGCCACTCCGTCTGACAGTCAGGACTCCTCTCCCGTCGACAGATCTACGGCGCTCCCCTGGAGGGTGGCGGAGTGGGCGCGGCAGCGGCGTCCCCACTGCCGTTCGTCACGGCGGCGCGCCATCTGCGCGTGGACGCCCTCAGCGGTGTGCTCTACTGGTCCACCGGCCACTCCGTGGAGGCCAGCTACCTGAGCGGCGAGCGGCAGCGCCATCTCTTCCGGACCGGCATCTTCTCCGGCAAACAGGTGAGGCTGCCGGCCGGCCGGCTGGCCGCGGCGCAGCCTGGCGGACTGCCCGCTCCAGACCCCGCAGGCCCCGGGGCCCAGAGGAATCGCCGAGTTCTGCACCACTTAGTCAACGGACACGCCTCTGACCGTGCGTGAGGCCAATTCGCCACAGGGATGCAGACGACCACTGTTTAAGTTTACTTTCACTAAGCGTGAAATTCCTTCTTAACAGTAAGTTTTCAGATGTAGGATGAGAGGTGTGCCGGAGGCCGGCGCCTCCGATCGGCTGCCTTGCCGGCCACGTCCGCTGACGTGCTGTGCTCTCGACGTTCGCCAGGTGGTGGGTCTCACCCTCGACCTGACCGGTCGCCGACTGTTCTGGATCGTCCGCGACTTCTCCGGCTCGTCCCTGAACATGATAGCTCTGCTGGACTCGTTGGAGGACGACGAGTCGGCCGCGGACGTCGCCACCGTGATCCCGCTGAAGCACAAGCACATAAAGGGTGGGTACACCTCAACACTGGCATGTACTCTCATTTCCGTTGATGCGGGGTGCGTACTTCTCTGAGAAAAAGGGCTGTTCAGAACACATGTCATGTAGGTGATCAATGCTCCCGCCATATGACGTGTTCCTGATTCTTTAAATCACCTATCGCATGGACAAATGTCTGCTGCGTCCATTGTTATAGGCATCACTGCTGACCACTCTGCCAGCACCCGCGTGTGATGTCCGATGTCGCCTCGCGCTTAGTGTTCCGAACTAGTAGCGCTGCACCGTACCGCACCGGCGGGCCGCCCCAACCCCCGGCGTCACAGCTCCTGCTCAGCCGGCCGGGCCTGACTTCCCCGCCGGTCGCAGGTCCGCTACACTTCTTCAGCGGCCGTCTCCTGTGGGTGATGGACGACGAGTCGGCCGTCATCGCCGACCCAGACGCCGCCCACCTGGCCGTCATCAACGCGGCCGGCGTCAGCGGGCTGCGCATGGTGGCCGTGCTGGACAGCGCGCTGCACCCGCTGCCGGCCGGCTTCTCCGCCAGCCAGCTGTCGGTGCTGCCCGCCGCCGTGCGCGCCCAGTCCGTGACGCTGACGGCGGCCGGCGCGGCCGGCGCCACCGTCAGCTGGGCGCCCGTCAACAACACCAACTACGCCACGGTCACCTACCGCGTGGAGCTGAACGGCCGCGTGCTGGCGGCGCCGGCGGCGCGAGCGCAGCTGGCTGGCCCGCTGCCAGCCTTCGCGCCCGTGCAGGTGGCCGTGCGCGCGCTGACGCGCTGGGGAGAGTCGCCGCTGACCCGGGTCACGCTGCGCACGCCTGAGGGTCCACCGAGCGCGCCGCTTCGGCTGCGTGCCTTCACGCGACGCGACCAGCCCATCGTGGACGCCCAGGTACGGTGCAGGCGGCGCCTCTCGGGACGGCTGACGGCCGGTGAAGGAGCTCGGCAGCGGATCCGGCCTCCGTCGTGTCATGTGCTCATATGGATCTCACTGCAGAACAATCTCACTGTAGTCTGGCATCTAGGTCTGCTCCGATTCGGCTGCTTGGGTTCAACGGTCTGTTATAGTTCTGTAGTGTTAAAATGGTCTAATAAGTACCGTCTGCTATTGGGGTCCTCATCTGTTGCGCACTGTTGATCTGCTAGAGTGAGTTGATCATGTGGTTCAGCAGGTGTGGTAAATGCCAAACTAGTTTTCCTTGAAATACATACTATACATTTCGAGGATGAAGATCGTTCTGGAAACCTGTCGTCGAGAGGTGGCGATTCAGGCAGCTTTGTCAAGCTAGCGATTGTTACATGCGCCCCGTGCGCTAACACCCGCGGTGGGAGGATGTCTCGTCGGATCCAGGCACTGCGCCTGCTCCTGACGGCCTGCACGACCCCCACTGACGGTCGGGTGTCGGCGCTGCCCCTCAGAACTGGACGGCCGTGGTGCGCTGGGACGCGCCCGCCTCCCCCCGCGGCGTGCTCCGACAGTACCGGCTGGCGGTCCGGCAGCGGCGGCCGGACGGCGTCTCAGTCAGCTTCAGCAACGTCACCGTCAACGGCACCCGCACGGAGGCGGTGCTGGCCGGCCTCAGCTCCGACTCCACGTACCAGGCGCAGGTCAGCGCTCGCGCCGCTCCGCTCTGCAGACTGAGGGGCTGCACTGGTGCGCGTCGGTGGACCGCTGTGAAAAAACAAGCGAATGTGTACTCCGCCAGTGTTGGCATCCGCACGTGTCAGGCCACATAGGCGTCCTCTCGTCTCTTGGCTCTTTCCTAACCGTTGGTATTTGGTTAGGCTTAAATAAAACACGCTGAAAATGAAGCACTCTGAAGCATTGTTTGGTCCTGTTTAACAGATATATGCAATGGTATGTGCTGGGTACCATGCCACTCGACATTATGCAACGAAGAAATTGCATGAAACGGTGACCAGACAGCTGGTCACCTCTCTCGGAATTTCTCCCTTCGATGTAAACACTGTCCGAGATGGTCGATCGCGCTACGCAAGCGGTGTTTTTGATACGCGGTCCTCAAAACGGCACTTTTATTCCACAGTTTGATGTCATGATGTCACACCGTCCAGGTTTGGGCCCTTTTCCTGGCGTCGTGCCGCGTTTTCTGGTGTCGCGTCCATGTGTCTCGCCCCTCACGAGTCACACCCCCGCCGCTCAGGTCGTCGCTCTCACGTCCGCCGGGGTCGGGGACCTCTCTGACCCGCTCACCTTCGAGCCACGTGACCGGGCCCTGCCCCGGCTGCTGGTGGCCGATGCCGACCGGCTCCGCCTGCTCGACCTCGACTCGGGTCAGGTCACTGACCTGGTGACCCAGGAGCGGGTCGTCGACGTGGCGACGGATGCGCGGCACCGCAGACTCTTTGTTCTGACGGCCGACAACGACATCCTGAGTGTGGACCTGCAGACGCTGGAAAAACACAAGGTACTATGCACGCCGTGTCGATCGCGCGAGCGGTGATCGGAAACACCCGTACATTACAGGCCGATCGCATGAAACACGTCAGGTCTGTTTTTATTTCAAGACCCGAAAACTGTTAAACGGATGGATTCCACAATTGAGCTTGTGTGAAGCTATTTGCTAGATGGCATGCATGCTTACTGAAGTTTTACTGAAATTCAGTAAGCGAAACGCTCTTGTGTCGTATCTCGCGGATAAGCGTAGTTTTGCCCCTTGCTATAGTTGTTGTTGCTGCTGGCAGGTGGAGAGTCTGCGAGGCACAGGCAGCAGTCTGACCTACGACTGGATCGGCCGCAATCTCTACTGGGCCGAGTCGCATTCCATGCGGCAGTTCAGTGCCATCTACCGGTTGAACCTGGACACAAGAGTTCCTGGCCGGGCCGCCGAGCGGGTGGTGGGGCACACTGGCCTCATCCAACGGCTGCGAGTTGATCCCTGGAGCAGGTCAGGGGCTCACTGTTGGCTACAAGCCAGTACCTGCATGTGTACCGTGAAGATTCCATGTCGCTTGTGACGGTATTGGCGCCGCGTGAGCTCAGCCTGCTTGTACACATATCCGTGTAACGGCATCAGTCACGGACTTATCGTCCAATGCTGACAGCCGGGCCTGGGACGAGCGGGACCCATTAGGTCGTCGTGATATGATACCTGACGTATTGATATGTGACATTGGTGTGCTCCAGCCGTTTGGTGTGGAACATGGTGGGAACGGACGGCGCTGCCATGCTGATGAGCCGGTCCAGAGATAACAACACCATTGTGCCATTCTTCAACGGTGACCAGCCTTCAGACAGGTGAGTGTTTTTAAACTTCAGATGGGTGCACGCCCTTTTAATTGTCTTTGACACGCGTGAACGTCGTGTCAGTTAACGATGCCGGGATTCAGTCTGGCTGTACAATGGCTATGAATTGGGGACGGCGTGCGATCCCAAGCACGCGACGTTCTTTGGTGCAACAAACATTCGAATGATAAATGACGTACCTGAAATTTTCGAGGAAACGCACATTTTTGTGACAATTTTTCCATGAGTCAGGCACGGCCATTTATTGTGACCAGCCAAGCCGGGCACCTCAGGATCCCCAGCAGCTAGCCACGTCTATCTAACCCTAACATAAGTTTTTCCATGTCCCGTGCAGCCTATCGTATGTTTGCACCCTAACCATTTTCGCATTACATTTTCATGTTTATCTTATTTTCGTTTCCCTACACTTTCGTGTTATGGTGACGGAAGTATAAAAGCCGCCGGAATATGTAAATGCACCGGTAGGCCAAAACACACACAAATCTCATGCGGAGCTTTTGCTCATCACCTCCGTCAGTGGCCACTGTTGGGCCATCGCAAGACAAACGTATCAAAGTTCGGTGACCGCCTCTTCTTCTGACGTCTCACGGCACGACGGGCAGCACGACAGAGCCACTCGCACCGCCGCTGGCTAACGATGCCCCCCCCCCCCTCCCCCCGGCCGCTCGGCAGGTGCAGCTGCCCGGCAGCCGGCCGCCTGGTGGCGCTGTCCGGCCGGCAGGCCGAGGCCGACCGGCTCCTCTGGCGGCTGGCCGACTCCGGGCGGCTGGTGACGTCTGACGCAGACGGCTGTCTCTGCCAGCCGCTGGCCTCCGTCCCCGACCAAGGTCAGTCGAGCCCCAGATCCCTCCTCGGGTGCGCCGCGTGCAGCCTGCACGAGCCCCACCTGGCACAGGACAGCTGACGGAGTTCCCGCGCTTATTTATGGCTGTAGATTTTGCGGATTTCTTCGCGGGACATGCGGCCAAAATGTTGTTTTTCGGCGTGAAACTGATTAAAACGAACGTCGCACACTGTGCACACCAGCTGCTTTTCGAAGACGTTGTTAATCTGTTTGTTTCTTTCGACGTCAGCACCGCTCTGTTTTCAGCTCACCACGTGGCTGTGTCAGACGACAGTGTGTTCTGGGCCACTAACGGCTCGGGGTCCGCGGCTGCCGGCGCCGCCTCTATATTCTCCAAGCGGCTGGAGTCGTCCTCGGATGGCGAGCGAGTCTACTCGGGCGGCGAGGTCCGTGGCCTGTGGCCGCTGGCGGCCCCCGCCGCGCAGCAGTTCCCCGAGAGCCGCTGCCTGCTGCCTGGTCCGCCGGCCAACCGGCCGAGGGCCATCGACACCAGAGCTTCGTCCGCCACCGTGCAGATGTCTCGCCGATCGCCGCCGCCCGGCTGCGGCGCGGTGTCGACGGCCGCGCCACGCTACACCCTTTACTACGGGCCCAACACTGGCGAGAAGCAATGCAGAAAGCATCTCCGCTACTGCCAAAACATGGTGAGTGTGGGCCCAGTGCCAGTGCCAGTGCCAGTACCCGCCAGTGTGCTGGCAGCGCCAGTCTTGGACAACAGGCGTATGTGCTGCACTACTGGCTGTTGTCTAGACAGCAGCAGATGGTAAGAATTGACGCAAACAAAGCTCTAGGTTGTTTTGATCCGTAGCTCACATTTACAGCTGCTCGTATACGATGCATCATACACGACAGCTCACATCTGGACGAGCTTATTGTCCATGTCGTGTTGCGTCTCGAAGCGTGGGTTTTCTTGCAGACAAACCGTTGACAAATGCGACAGAATCGCCAGCTGCATGCAGCGGTCGTCGCTTGCGGCTGTCCGCCCGCTGCGCGGTGAGGCAGGCGCCGCGCCTCCGGCGGTCGTGCGTGAGCGTGACGTGCCTCCGACCGCAGACGGTGAGCGGCGACGAGGCGCGTCTGACCGGACTCAGGCCGCTGACGGCCTACGCGGTCCGGCTCGCCGTCAGCAACTACTACTCGGAGCTGCTGCACGCCCCGCCGCCGCCCACCGCCAACGTCACCGTGCTCACCACAGCGCCCGGTCAGTGGCGTAGGTGGCACTGCACGACAAGGCACCACGGCTCAATTTGACAAATTATTTGGTGCTTGGAAAAGATGGCAAACGATCGTAGTTTTTGCCCTCTCTGCCGTTTGTGGTGAGCCGTTCCAAATTGATGAGAAGATTATTGCAATTTCTGTCATCACGCGCGTAATTCTGTTGGAGCAACTGGTCACCTTCTTTCCGTGCAACTTTCACCCGCCATTTTGTACGATATTCGGTACTTGCTGCCGCCTCCGCTTCAATAATCCAGAACGATTATCAATGAAATGTACTGCTGCAGTGACTCAAATACTGAAGTGCAGTCCGTAGCGACAGCGGGACTCGTCTTCCCTGACTGTGGCCTGACCCTGACCACTCGTCTTACCTGAGTGGCCTGACCCTGACCGCTGCCGCTGCCGCTGCCGCTGTTCGCAGCGCCGACCGAGCCGCGCGAGGTCCGCGCCGAGCCGCTCTCGCCGGAGGGCATCGAGGTCAGCTGGCTGCCGCCGCTGTCCTCCGGGGACCGGCTCAGCTACCGCGTCCACTGGAGGACCGAGGGTGTCAGCGGCAGTCTGCGCGCCTACGGCCCGGTGTCGGCCACCGGAGCCGGCGCTGGCGCCGCGCCCGCCGCCCGCCGACGCTACCTGCTACTGGTGCCCGACCTCACCGCCGATACCAACTACCACATCTGGGTCAGTGGCGCACGGTGGGGTCAGGAGGGGCTCACTACTCCCATGCACTACCACGTCTGGGTTAGTCTCGGACGGCGAGGTCGGGAGGGGCTCACTACCCCCACACACTACCACGTCTGGGTCAGTCGCGGACGGCGGGGTTAGGAGGGGTTCACTACTCCCATACACTACCACATCTGGGTCAGTCGCGGACGGCGAGGTCGGGAGGGACTCGCCACCCTCACACATTACCACATCTGGGTCAGTCGCGGAGGGCGAGGTCGGGAGGGACTCACTACCCCCACACACTACCACATCCGGGTCAGTCGCGGACGGCGGGGTCAGGAGGGACTCACTGACCTCACACACTACCACATCTGGGTCACATCGTTTCAGTGCAGTTGACCACCATCTCAACTTTTCCATGCGTTTCTTACCATCAGCGAGTCAGGCGTTACCTACGTTTCTTACACCACCAGGTGAGCGCCCACTCCTCGGATGACAGCGCCGCATCTAATAGCAGCATCGTCAGTGCTGCCACCTACCCGTACCCTGAGAACGTCACACTGGAGTACGCCAATGTCAGCAGCATTGTCGTCATGTGGCAGCACGCGCTGGACGGCACCATCAACAGGTACGGGAGACGCCTTCGTGGGTGGTCCTCAGGTGGAGGTGTGGAGCATACGATATCAGAGCATCAGAGAACTGGATGGTGCTGGTGCAGCATACAATGCTCGGTCTACGGTGTTTTCGCAAATCCGATGTGATCATGACACTTTCCTGGTAGAGTATCACCTTGCCATGGAACCGAATGTCACCTTGTATCTTGGGTCTGTGCATGTATTCTGTAGAATTTAGTTGCTGTCAAATGCGGATGTTCTGTTAAAGTTTGTCCATGTGAGCCGGTTTAGGGACACCCCAGGCGCGGAGCTCCGCCGATTCCACGCCGCCTATGCCGCTCGTCTTTCTCCCGGTCCCGTCCCGCACCTAACGCCCGGCCGGGCCTGGGCCGAGCAGCAGCTGGCTCGAGTACCGCCCAGCCCAGCAGCCAGGCGGCTGGCTCAACGGCACGCTCAGCTCTGCCGAGACGGTGTCCGGCCGGCGCGTGGGCCGGTATCGCGCCGAGCCGCTGCAGGCGCGCACCGAACACCTGTTCCGCCTGCCGGCTGGCGTTACCGCCCGGCCAGCTGTTGGTCTGGCCGCGCGACGCGCCATTCCGCTTTCATACGACCGTGAGTGCCGCGCGCCGGCTGGGGATCTGTCAGTGAGCCCCTCAGCTGAGCGGTCTGAGCGATCACGGCCGGCTGGGAGACCGTCAGGCCGCGGCCCAGCCCCTCCACCTCTGCAGCGGCGCTGATCCCAGCGGCTGTGTGAGACGTCAGTCGCGGCCCATCAGCCTGAGCCGGCGCGAGCGCGCGGCGCTGGGAACTGTCAGGTCGCGCCAGTCTCAGCCGCTGCCAGCGGCCTGAGCCGATCAGGCGCGCGTTCTCAGCCGTGCTTTCACTCTGAAGAACTGTCGTTACAGCTTACGCCCAATGTGTTGCCTTTGTAAAAGATGCGAAGTGTCCTTTGAATCAAAACGTGGCAGCCAGATATGTTGCTATAGCTAAGCTGCCAGATGCCACTGCGACAGAACCCGCAAATCCCATGTCACGATTTGAGCGAGCGAGCAAACTCAGCGAGCCGCAGCGTATCCTAGTGGGGCTGGATTGACGTTTACTCACCCCGCACGCCTCACCCCTCTGACAATCGTGCTCGCGGCAGGGGGCCGACCGGACGAGCCGGCGCCGCCCGAAGTACGCGAGCTCCAGGGCGCCGTGTACCAGGTGACGTGGCAGCCGCCGCGCGCTAACGGAGCCGCCATCGACCTGTATGCGCTGGAGGCCAGCCTGGCGGCGCGGCGAGCTCGCCGCGGCGCCGAGCCCCGCTGGCGGCTCGTCTACAACGGCTCCGGTGAGCGGCCGGGCCCGGGGCGAACCCCGCGGACTCGAGGACGCTGAGCTGGCCCGATCCGGCTCGGACGTCCTCACCAGTCAACCGATCAAAATATAACCGATCAAAACCGATCGCCGCTCAGCGTTGCATTCCGGCCGCGCGTTTGAAGCAAGGCCTCACTTCGGCTCCACGTCCGTGGCCTGCTTCGTCGCCTTGACAACTCTCACAGAGGCCCATCTGTCGCCGTTCCTCAGACCCGTCGTGGATTATCAGCGACCTGGACCCGTCCCCCGACTACCGGTTCCGCACGCGCGCCCACAACGCATACGGCTGGAGCGACTACAGCGCCGCCTCGCAGTCGTACCAGCTGGAGAGCATGCCGTTCAGGGCGCAACCCTCGGACACGGGCGTCATCGTGGGCGGCGTCGTCAGCGCCGTCTTTCTGGTCATCGTGCTCATCGTCGTCGCCCTCGCGCTGCGTGAGTTGCGGGGAGGAGATGCTGACGCTGAAAGATTCACTGAAGTTCTGGAGTCGTGCTGCTGGACGAGGCAAGAGATACCGGTGCTTTGATCGGTTTGGCGAATAATTTGGCACTTAAATTTGTTCCTCGGTCCATGTTATTGACACCAGTACTGTCACCATTTCAGTGGTTTATGGATAAAGCAGAATGTCGTTTCCCGGGCATCACAAACAACTTGAGCCAGTTGCTGTTCCCTCAACGCCGTTTCGTCACCAGATTTGTGGAGAGGCGTCTCTGCACTCCCCGGCTCCTTCGTCCCAACCCTGACTGTCGTCGACACTCCTCAGGCTTCCGGCAGCGGCCTGAGGACAAGAAGGCGCCGCGCTCGCCGGACCAGCTGCCTCACGACGTGGAGCTAGCGCAGCTGCGCGAGATTCCAGCCCACTTCGTGCGGCAGAACAACGCCCTGTACGCGCCGCCGTTCGCGGACGCTGAGGACGCGGGCGGTCTGCCGCGCGTGCGCCGCGAGCACATCACGCTCACCAAGTTCCTGGGCAAGGGGGCGTTCGGCGAGGTGTACGAGGGCCTGGCGCAGCAGCTGCCGGGCCGCGAGGACGACGACCACGGCTGTCGAGTCGCCATCAAGGTGCGCAGCCGACAGCGGATACCTGCGGCCACCTCTGGGGACCTATCTGTCGCGTGACGCTGTGGCTTGCGATTAATTTCATAATGACGAAGAGAAGTCGTGACGTGTGTGGAATGGATATAACTGCTTCCCAAGCATGCTTGCTTTGATAGACTCCAATGCGCGTTTTCAGACGTTGGCAAAGGGAGCCAAGGACGAAGAGAAGATCGAGTTCCTGAAGGAGGCCCAGCTTAGTGCAATTTCCGACACCAGCAACATCATCTCGCTGGCGGGGGGTGTGCCTGGACAACGACCCCGTACTTCCTGCTGCTGGAGCTGATGGAGGGCGGAGACCTGCTGAGCTACCTCCGAGCCAACCGTGGCACCGACTCGACGGGGTACAGTGCCGACCTGGGACGGGGGGCTTGTGCCGACTGGGAGGGGGTCTTGTGCCGACTGGGAGGGGGTCTTGTGCCGACTGGGAGGGGGTCTTGTGCCGACTGGGGAGGGGTCTTGTGCCGATGGGAGGGGGTCTTGTGGCCGACTGGGAGGGGGGTCTTGTGCCGACTGGGGAGGGGTCTTGTGCCGACTTGGGAGGGAGCGACTGGAACGTGGTGAGTCATGGGAGGTGGGAGGAACACGACGATGTTTTCATGCGCACCACAACGCGCTATCTGTTCTTCATCAGAAATTTAAGGCTTGGCGTGCTTAAAATGAAAGTGTAATTTGGTTATTAGTCATGCGATTATCACAATTCACTTGTCATATACTCCTGTTTGATCTCAGCTTCTTTTGCGCTCGTGAGCACATTTCCATCCAGATATTTAATGATCGACCTCGACGGAGCTTCGGCAGGTACCTGACGCAGATTTGGGACGCTGGGCGTCGTTGCACATGGGGTCCCCTTGACAGCGCGCTGCATTATGACTCACAAGTCTCCATCACATTCGAACTCGACAGACAACCCGGATACCTGGCGGTGCAGATGTCTCCACGGACTCACGGCCGTGCCGACTTCCGCCCCGAGCTCCTGGCGACGCCGGCCTCGGCGCCACTGACGTTAGCGCCGTGTTGCAGGCGCCGTTCCTGTCGCTGAACGACTTGCTGCAGATGTGTGTGGACGTGGCGCGCGGCTGTCAGTACCTCGAGCAGCTGCACTTCGTGCACCGCGACCTGGCGGCGCGCAACTGCCTCGTCACTTCGGGCGACCCGCAGCGCCGGCTGGTCAAGATCGGCGACTTCGGGCTGGCGCGGGACATCTACAAGAGCGACTACTACCGCAAGGAGGGCGAGGGACTGCTGCCAGTCAGGTGAGTCCGCCGCGCCGGCCGCTCCACACCAGCCGCGCAGCGCTGCAGCCACCCGGGCGACGTTGCGACGTCGCATCGCCTTGTGCATCGCTGAGCCGCGTTTGCAGTCGCTCCTCCGCTGGCTTCACCGGACGCGGGCGCTGGCGGCCGTGGCGCTGGAGCCGGGGCGCTGAGCCGAGCCGTCTGTCGACCGGCCTGGTGCTGACGCGGGTCTCCCGGCCGGCAGGTGGATGTCACCGGAGTCGCTGATTGACGGCGTGTTCGCCAGTCAGTCGGACGTCTGGGCGTTCGGTGTTCTGCTATGGGAGGTGATGACCAAGGGCCAGCAGCCGTACCCGGCGCGCACCAACCTGGAGGTGCTGCAGTACGTCCGTGAGGGCGGCACGCTCAGCAGGCCCGACCCGTGCCCGCAGCAGATGTGAGTCACGTGACGGGCCCCACCAGGCCTGACCGACGTGGTCCGCTGCGGGTGGGAGACACGTGATGGATCGCTGGCCCGAACAGCACCGTTTGAAACAGACGAGTGTCGCACATCATTGCCTCAACTGCCATCTCTGGCCCAGTGCTCCCAGCACACCGCTAGATCGCGTTTGAGTCCATGGCGTTTAAAACTGATGTTAAGAAAAATTACATGGTTGCCCCCAGTGGTGTGGGCAAGGAGCAGGGGACACATGCCCTTTTAAGTTTCTAGGAGCCCTTCGAGTCCCCCAAAACCGACGATTAAGGGCCAGATTTGAGGGCCTAAATGGCCCGAAAGGCCGGAAGAAGGTCATATCCAGGAGCCCTGACCCGCCGCTTCGGGCACTCCCATGCTAGCCGGATGCTCTTTTGCACCGATCGGGGGCTCGTAATCGATAAGGGCCTATATGTCGGTCAGACACCATCAGTCCCACACTTCTGGCTCCGTGTCGGTATGGGTCTTAGGACCCATTTCCCATTCAGGGACAAAGCCGTAGTCAGCGATTTACATTGGTTGGGGCCCCAGCGTGTGTCGCGCCTACCGCCTGGTGCTACTTGCAGCGGTCAATGCCGTGCCGTTTTACAGAAACTGCAACCCCGGCCAAGAGCACGCAGGATAAGATTGATGTGATCTGTTACATCAGTCGATTCTAAAAAAGAATGGCTGTCCTCTGGCAAACATGGGCTGGCCTTTTTGATTTTTGATCTCATTTCAACCCACTGTTTCCAGCACTTATGAAAATTTCTACTTTTTTTCTGGGCAAGGTGCCCCGTAAGTACAGCACTAGGGAGCACATCATCGATCCCGGTCAAGGGCTGGAGTGCCATCCCGTCGCAGCGGAGGGCCTTCCGGCTGTCATTCTGGCGACAAGGGCGCGGGGTCCCCTGGTTGATCTGGTGGCCCTTAAAAGAATGTATCATACCACATTGGTCGCCTCCCTGACGCGGGAGGCCTTCTGACCCACGCAGTTGGCCCCTAATCGACGCAGGAACAGTCATTAACGCAACAAGATCCCTGATTGCCACAAGTGATCCAATAATTGGCACATAAACATAGTTCGGTTTAACAGACCCATGGCTGGAATTTGGTTGGATGGATGCGCTCTCATCGCTTTTTTCTCATCGCTTTTTCCAAAGTTCTCGGGTTTCCTTCCACTGTCAACGGGCCCCAACCAATGTGCGAGGCCCTCTGGCATGCGGGATTCTGTCCCCGTCTCTGTTCAACAAATGCCCCCCATGGCCGACTCAGGGCCCCTTGCCCATGTTATGGCCTGTTATGGCCCCTTGCCCCATGGCCTTGCCCCATGGCCCCTGTTAAGCGCATGAGCGAGAACGACTGTTGCGAAATAATTATTCCGTAAGTCTTTCCAAATGAATTCATATTCCATACAATTCAAAGATTAGACTGAGGCGCATCTGTTCTCAAACTTTGAGAATGTCCTCCGGACGGGTTAACACTTAAACGACACGAAGAATAGAGACTCTGCTTTAACGTTTTCACAGGGGTGTAGTTTTCTGTTCGGTTGGGTTTCAGCTCCCCGACCCTAGCTTTAGGAAGTGGGCAAATCCGGAGAAACCCCTGTCTGTTGGCATATTTTGGGGCAGGTTGGGTGATTTCTCACCGTTCATTCCTTCCCCAACTCATTTTGCGAAACTACGCCCGCGCTGTTCCAGTTCCACCTCCAGATTTTGTCTGCCCGTCGGTCGCAACATACAAAGTGTTATCCACGGGGCTGACGCTACGTGGCTTATGGAAACTGCAACGCCTGGCGTCCAGGTTTTGTTTTTTTTAAATTTGTTAGCGCGTGTCCAAAACTACGGTACAATACTTTTTATCATGAATCAATTCTGACAGCGTGCTAAACACTTCTGGGCAAATTTGGGTTAGCCATGTTAATACAGACAGTGCATCCATCGATCTTTTACGTTCACGGCGTTCTCAATTTCTCTGAATAACCTATATCAAAATTATGGCACAAGTCCTGAGTTCCTTCGGTTTAGAGTTTGATTAACCGCTTTAGAACAAGGAACGTCAACGATTTATTCCATGCAGTCGCTGAACGCCGAAGTTCATCAGCTTATTGACCTTAACTTGTAAACAGAATTTATCCCGCGGTAGCTTTTGGCTTCTGGTCCAGTAATAGAAGGTAATTATAGTGCTAAAACAAAGAAAACCGTGCCCCTCATTAACAAGTGGGCCATACCCGGCTTTTTTGGGAAGGCTTTCACCATCATGGGCGCTTTCCCAACTGTGTTCCCCTTGCCAAACGTTTGGCCGTGCCCCCGCTTACCTCTGCGAGGCGATGGGACATTATCGTCTCGATGTGCGGGTTGCGTCTAGGGCGGACCGTCTCCGACCTCTGAACGCCAGCGGGTCTCCCAGGTCCGGCCGCTCGATGCCGACCGAGGGCCTCTGTCGCGCCGGCCTCACACTCGCGCCCTCGGCCTCACGCTCCAGGTTCGAGCTGATGCAGCAGTGCTGGGAGTACGTCGCCGACGACCGGCCGACCTTCCAGCACTGCCTGCAGTGTCTGCAGCAGATCCAGGTGGCCGCACTGAGCCGGGCGCCCGGTTTGGTTCAGAGCGGCATGACCGTACACAACGCCCAGTACGCCCGCACACCCGGTACGTCCGAGACCGACCCGGCCCGCGCCGCCGGCGCCCGTCCGGTTCGACTGGGCCCCGGCCGACTTGCACTGCGCGCCGCCTGCTGCTGGTTGGCATTTTGAACAGTCGTGTGTGGCGATTTGTGCCTGACGCTTCGGCTCATATTGCATGATTGTGCATACTGTGCAGTGCTCGCTCGGAATACCCTCGTCCAGTTAAACATTTCATATTGCCATATCTACGATCAGAATTGTACGCTGTGAATAAGCAAGGGAGGCGGCACCCGATTAACCAAATATGTTTATGTCAACCTATTTGGATTCTATGTCGACCTATTCTATTCTCGCATTAACCTCTAGCTCACCCTCGACATGTTTCTTCATTGAGCCCCGGCCGTCCGCTTGCTTTGTAAAAACTCGCATTCGAGTAGTCTGTTCATTGCTTCACTATCTTTGCCAGCTTGGTTGATGTCTTGTCTCTGTCTTAGGCGCTTTTGATAATAACGCCTACACCATCGACGAAGAGGAAACCACCGAAGAAGGTGAGAAATTCAGCATGCTTGTCCTATGTCTGCTGCATATACATGTACATGAATCACAAGCTCGGCCGTGGGTGGGAGCATGTGAAGTAATGCACATTGCCAACTCCAGGGCTAAATACCCGTATTCGGTAGGCAATGGGCGAGGCTGCCGACCTTCCGAGACCCTGAGTTGGCGTCCAATCTCAAAGGCAAGGATCATCCATCAAGCCGCATAACCGTCAATCAGTAGAACGAGTCAGCGCCCACGTGTCACAAGACCGCACGCATTAACCTAAAACGGTGCATGGAAATAACGAATCCGCGGAACGACGAACACGTCCTCGGACCAAGTCAGCATCTGACCGTTAAAGACTCGAATGGCCTGTACTGACCGTCATCCCGATGCTGCAGGCGGCCGGTGGCGGCGCAGCTCGAGTGCCACTAGCGGCCGCGACAGTTCGCACCTCCTGCCGGCCGACGGCGACGCCGACTCCGTGTTCAGCGACTCGTCGGCGGCGCAGGCGACGCTGCCGAGCCGCGCGCGACTCCGGCTGCCGCAGAAGCACAAGTACCTGCAGCTGCGCTACGACAGCGAGTCCGGCTACGAGGTGCCGATCGGCTGTGACGGCAGGCTCGAGTGCGCCGGGGCAGCGGCCGCCGCGCCGCCGCCGCCGCCCGGCTACCAGAACTGCGCCGCCGAGCGGCTGCCGGCCGGCTCGGTGGACGATATCCAGTTCTCGTTCGACAGTGCCGAGCACGACCCGCGCCACAGCGTGGCCAGCTTGCTGTCGCAGATCAGCGGCGTCGCCATCGACGTCGACCCAGGCAAGACGTCCTGGTGTTAGTGGCCGTCGCGCGCCGGCTGTGAGCGTTCGCGCGCGAGCGGGACAGGCGGCGCCACGAGCGTGGCCGCGCCCGGACGAGGCCGGCTGGGGGCTCCGGGCCAGTCCGCGGCGCTGGACGTCAGGTGGCTAGTCAGTGACTTTGGCCGGCGGGTCGGCCCGACCGCCGAAGGGACCGCCGAGCGACCCCGGCCGGCCGACGAGGCCGCTCTGAATCATCAGCACAGTAAGCCCATTCCTAACGAGGGGTACGCCAGGCCAGCGGCCGCAGCCTGCCGAGTTGAGTTGCCTCGTCGGAGCCCAGCCCCTGCTTCGCCGGTCGATGGGGGGGGGGGGATGGGGTGCTGCTATTTACGTGTACAAAGCGACGCAGTTGCGGCAGGTCGCCGTGTCAATAGAGCAGTTTCGGTCCAACATAAGATTGCGATCCATGCTCCAGGAACACTGTTGCTACAAATAACAGGAGCGCGATCCCTGCTAGGGACACTGTTCCGCAAATACCTTGGCGGGATTTGGACGTGCTGCAACTGCTCTCAATCAGCATGTGGCATAGTGAGAAAAGTTACGTCAACAGCTGGGCGGCGTTCAGTGAACGTGCCCCATCTCGCCCCGCGCGCGCCTACGGCTTCAGATGACGCCTCCCTTCACCTAGCCGCCCCGGATCGAGACACATCACCTGCAAAGCTTCCCCAGTTACGCGACATGAGGTGCCGCATCCACTGATATTACGTGTATGCAGCAGCATAAGCCAAAGGTTCTTCCAGCCGACTGTGTCGGCCAGCGCGGCCTGCCGGCAGCCGCCGCAGCTCAGTGTCCTCCGGCCGGCGCTCAGTACAGCCCGGCGGCGGCCGCCCCGTCGGGTCCTGTCGCCGGGAGCGCGGCAGTCGCTCGTTGGTCCGCACCTCCTCGGGTCGGCCCCAGGACAGTGTCGGCTGTTTTGTGTGTAACGTGTATAGATTTATTGCGGATAATGCTGTGCCAATTCTTGCGATGACAATACACCATTCCATGATGATGTACGCCGTCGGGCAAGCTACGAATCTGTACACCCATGGTCAGCCGCTCCACAGCACAGCCCAGCCGGAGCGTCCGCGGGCGAGCCTATTAGCCCGCACCGCGGTGCGCTGAGGGCCGCTGGTCGCCTAGCCGGTTGGCCTCATTGGACGGCCCTTTATGTGCCCGCGGCCCCCTAGAAAATATGTCAGAAAATCAGATCTGTCGCCGTCCTGGCCGTTGGCACTCGAGCACACCCTGATCGCGGCATTACGTATGGTTGTATTCTTACAAACTTCTGCCGTGCAAATGTCGCCAAACTCAAGCCGTAGTCTACAGGACACATAACGGAGAGTGACAATGCGGCACACAATATACCCAAGCATTCAGGCAAATCAACCAAATGACTGCGATAAAAGCAACTGTCTCATTTCGTGTGCGACATGAGATATTACATTCCACCGACCACTCGCCATCAAAGACAACTGCCACGGCAGCATGGGCCCTTTGTCCTTGACATTCCACGACGTTAACAAAACTCCTTCGACAGCTAACACTAGTTCCGAGACAAGCGCTACGTTACCCAGTCATATCCGCCAGCAAATCCCCATTTAAAATGACGGACAGCCAGCACAGTGGCGCCACGCAGCGGAGACTAAGCAATACATCACTAACGGAACGACGCCTCCGCCTCCGACCCACACCCCCTACCACAACTCGTACGTGGCGATCACGTGTGTTGTCTGGTGCTGCCAGCCCTCTGTCCCGGCCAGAGCGACGGCGGCTCTTGTGCGCCGGGCTGCAGCGCAGCAGGGTGCAGTGCCAGTCCATTGTCTCCAGCTCCAAACTCCCTGAGCAGCATCACTGAACCACTACTGCTGAGGCTGCTGCCCCTGCTGCTGCTGTTGCTGCTGTTGTTGCTGCTGCTGCTGTTGTGTAAAGGACGATTGCTGCTGCTGTTGTTGATGCTGCTGATGCTGTTGCTGCAACTGATCCTCCTCTACCAACTTCTTTAGACCTTCTGGTAGTCGGCCCTCATCAAGTTCTTGATTCCACTTCAAGTACTGCAAAATACATATGTACAGATGTTACTTACACTCATCGGGACAAATCCCAGGGGAACGCAAAGTAAAACCGGACGTGTGTGACCACATGACCACGCAACAGAAATGAGAGCCTCCTCTCGGCGTCTGCTCCACAGGTAGCTCGCGTCACGTTTGACACTAGCTAAATGACGACCTTAGCCATGCGCCATGAATGAAACCTCTACCTTTCGGGTGCCCCGACAAGAGCTTTGCTACGGCCTCGAAACGAGTGCAAGGAACTTGGACCGACCCGAAGCCAGTCAAATTATCTTCAAACAGGTGCCCGCAGTACCATTCAAATCCACTTACAACCCTTCAGCTCGCCTAGTGGTGTTCGTTTGCCGAAACTCCGACCTGTTCTCCTTCAGCCCGCCTAGTGGTGTTCGTTTGCCGAAACTCCGACCTGTTCTTCTTCAGCCCGCCTAGTGGTGTCCGTTTGCCGAAACTCCGACCTGTTCTTCTTCAGCCCGCCTAGTGGTGTTCGTTTGCCGAAACTCCGACTGTTCTTCTTCAGCCCGCCTAGTGGTGTTCGTTTGCCAAAACTCCGACCTGTTCTTCTTCAGCCCGCCTAGTGGTGTTCGTTTGCCGAAACTCCGACCTGCTCTTCTTCAGCCCGCCTAGTGGTGTTCGTTTGCCGAAACTCCGACCTGTTCTTCTTCAGCTCGCCTAGTGGTGTTCGTTTGCCCAAACTCCGACCTGTTCTTCTTCAGCCCGCCTAGTGGTGTTCGTTTGCCAAAACTCTGACCTGTTCTACTTCAGATCGCCTAGTGGTGCACCTTCGCCGAACCTCTGACCTGCCCTTAAAGTCGCTACTCGTACGGCTCGATCATCGCGTTTGCCCCGTCCCCGAACATATGATCGGTGCAGTGCCAGTCTGTGCTGATCTGTTCTGTACTGTACTGCACTGCACTGGACGTGCTACCTGAATGCAGGCAAATGCAGCCAGTCGCTTCTGCGGACCTAAATGGATGGCATTTGTCGATGTATTGGAATATCCACCTTGCAGCAGTCCGAGTTTCACAGGTGTCCAATTTTAGCAGGCAGAGCTACATTGTATGCCACATGTTAACAAATGATATCGCTAGAATGTTGGCTGGCTTTGGGCCAGCAAAGTTCTGGCAACTGTAATCGATGACACACATACATTTGGGACATAAATTGTTGGCGACAGACTGAGGCATTAGAGAAAAACGGTGATGATTTGGGTGGATATTGGTCACAATATCTGGAAAATATGCCGATGCAGTACCGATGGTTCAGTGAGCATCGGCCAAAGCGTTGTAAATCTGTGACCAGTTTCAGAAAAGGTGCCGGTGAATAATACCTGGCTCGCTGCTGGTGTATACAGGTACGGGTCGGACGTATTTGCTAAAAGGGAGTGTTCCAAATTTGTATGGGACTTTTAATTGAAAGCCACCTCGAAGACCATTCGGTGCAGTTCACAGCCCTATCCCTCTTGAGACCTAAACTCTCATGATTTCTGAGCTGTAGGCCCGCGATGATGTGCCAGCGATGTCGGGGGGGGGGGGGGGGGGACTATTTCAAGGTCACCCGAGCATCCACGGCGCCATAACAACGTCATTCAAATCCTGTCATTTCGTTTTTGCGACGATTTGTCGCGACCCAGGGCAAAAATATATTGTCGAGTCGTTCGTATCTGGTGTTCGCGAGCACCATTTCCAAATGCAGCAACCCGTGAGCCAATAGCACTCAATGTGTTGCAAAGTATGAAGATGTAATCAGACAATGACGCATTGAGGAGCATATTTACAAAGCAAAACAGAGAAATTGTGTTGTCCAGAGCAGACCATTCCACTACCTTCAGATGTGGAACATTCCCTTTAAAAAACTTGTAGATTCGTCCGCAAAGAATACCGTACAGCTGGTGTCCGCCCCCGTTATCGAGATATCGCACCGATACCTAAAACTTGTCCGAAAAGGGGCGGATACATGGTTTGCGCACGCCATGCGTGCCAGTCACGTGTTCGCAGGTGACAGCGCATATCAGCCGCGTGTTTGCTGGTACCATGGTCCGTGTTCTCCCCGTCAGCATTAGTATTAGTCGCGGCGCCATCCCGACGATGGTATCTGTATCTGGTTCCAATCCGGGCTCCTCAGCTCTTTTGCGATTTGAAAACGTCCCGCCTTCCATGCTGATCGAAGGGAAGATGAAAAAGTAGCGTTGCCGCAACGCCGTGGAAATACGACGTTCTATGTTTGCCTGGAATAATACTACGGCACAGCCTGTAAGGAATTGTACCGCCTTTTCTTGACAACTTCATGGCGGTACGACCAGTGGAAACCAAAAGACAAGCCCAACAAAGGCGTGACGGGCCACTGGCCAGGCTACCACAGTTCCCCGTGGCCTGCTAATACCTTACGTCCCATCCCCCCGCCCCCCCCCCCCCCCCCCCCCAGAGACCACACGCTCTTAGGACCGCCACTGCCTTGCCTGCTGCGCGTTCGGCAACCCCACACCCGTCACCACGCTATCCACCACCGCTCACCTGCTCAGAGCTCCTTGCGCAGCAGCAGGTTGGCCTGCTCGCGGGTGCGCACCACCTCCTCCAGGTATTGGTAGCGCAGCTTCTTCCTGGCGCGGCACTCGCGCGCGCTCTGGCGGCTCCGCTCTGTAACGGCCATCACATCGACGTTGGTCTAGAGCGCGGTTGCGCGCACGTGCCGCCCGGTGCCGGCCACTGACCCGTATCGGAGGAAACCAGACAGCTCTGCTGCCCTGAACGAGGCGCCGGACACGGCTCCACCAACATCTCCGCCCCTGATGCAGCAGGGGGCACAGCTGTGGTTCTGTCACGCTTATAGCTGCCTCCCGCCCCTCAGTACGGTACGGTACAGTGTGGTCCCGTACCTCGCTAGCGGTACCGGACACAGCCCCGCCCCCGACGGGACAAGGTCCTGCGCCCTGATGAGGCGTTAAATACAATTTCATCCACTGAAAAGGGACGAAATGCCACCCATTGCTGTGATAAGATACGATGCTCAGCCCACCCCGACGAGGGACGGGACACAGCCGCTGCACCCTGACGAGGGATGGGACAAGCTCCTGCCCCCGACGAGGGACGGGACACAGCCTCCGCCCCCTGGAGAGATACGGGACACGGCTCCTGCCGAGGGACGGGACACAGCCCCCGCCCCTTGACGAGGGACGAGACACAGTCTCTGCCCCCCCCCCTCCCCTGACGAGGGACAGGACACAGGCCCTGACGGGGAAAGGGACGACGCTCTAACCCCTGATAACGCACGGGATTCAGCCCTGCTTCTGTGACGCTCTAACCCCTGACAACACACGGGACTCAGCCCTTCCCAACTTGGTGCTAACAAACAAGACAAACACGATCAATGTGCGGACAATAAAGAAATGCCAAAGGAACTGGAATGATGCAGCACGGTGCCGTGCAAAGACTGCGATGTAAAATCGTAACAAAATTCCAAACCAGTTCCCAAGACTGCAAACGACTTCAAGTGATTGAGCCGTGGAAAGATTCAAGAGCATTTCAACGCGACACTGAAGTGTGCATATATTGCACAACTCAGGCTCGCATCATACGTACATTTTTACTTGAAAAATAATTTGGAAAGAGACTCAGCAGCAAGTTCTCGCACACCCGAGCGCGCGAACTAGCGCCCCATTTACTGTGATTTACTTCCCCATCAATTCAGGACAATTCCGCCATGCCACAGGATAACGCGTCACCTCTCACTATCCACCACGCACTGATTCCGCAAAAACTGACCTAGCTTGACCCTCATCTCCTTGGGTCGCCGGGTGGAGGACTTTTTCGCCGCCGCCTCGCTTCCAGCCTGCAACAAAAGCGGCTGGTCAGAGGGCGCTACGTGTCAGCGGCGGCAGACGGGACGGGCCGCCCCGCGCAAGACACGCAGGCGCCGACGGTGGTCGACGGCAGCTCAGACACCACACGCTCCAGGGGGTCGCACACCCGCGACGGCGGGCACACGGCGGCTCCGACACCGCACGCTCCAGAGGGCCACACAACCACGACGACAGACAGACGGCGGCTCCGACACCGCACGCTCCAGAGAGCCACACACCCACGACGACGGACAGACCAGGCACGGCCCACCGTCAGCTGCTCAATGGTTTTTGAAAAAAAAAACGTCGATTCATCGCGACGAACCTGACGCTACGCCATCAGTCTAACAGTCCCAGTTGGGCCACTGACCTCCACCTTTTTGAGAGTCTGACCTTTTTGCATTCGATACAAATGATATGATCATGCCATCTGAGGTCCGGCGCCTCTCGCAGGTGAGCTACTGGGACTCAGAGCCACCAGCTGAGCTACCGGGACTCAGTACTACCAGCTGAGCTACTGGGGGAGAGTACCACCAGCTGAGCTCATGAAAATCAGCTCTACCAGCTGAGCAACTGGGACACAGTACTACCAGCTGAGCTAATGGGACTCAGTACCACCAGCTGAGCTAATGAGAATCAGCTCTACCAACTGAGCTCCTGGGACTCAGTACTACCAGCTGAGCTAATGGGACTCAGTACCATCAGCTGAGCTAATGAGAATCAGCTCTACCAGCTGAGCTCCTGGGACTCAGTACTACCAGCTGAGCTAGTGGGATCCAGTACCACCAGCTGAGCTAATGAGAATCAGCTCTTTCAGCTGAGCCGCTGGGACTGGGACTACCAGCTGAGCTAATGAGAACTTGCTCTACCAGCTGAGCTCCTGGAACTCAGTACTACCAGCTGAGCTACTAGGACTCAGCTTAATCAGTCGAGCTACTGGGAGCTGACCCTACCAGATGAACTGCCGGGACTTAACTCTATCAGCTGAGCTACTGGGACTCAGCTTGTTAGCTTATTGCAATGCGTACTAGGACAGAGCTACGCAGACCACTCAACTGAACCATTGTAATGGTTTAACCGTTATGGTCAGTTATAACCCATTTTATTGTGTCCGGTAAAATACGGTACTGTACCGTATGCAATGGATCTACCATATTCAGGATATAATCCCTTGAGGTTTAAACGATTGGCAGTACCTTACTGCATAATATTTCAACGCGCTGTGAGCAGGCGCGCTGTCAGGCTGGGCCCCATCATTGTCATCACGCCACATGTCAGGTAATTCAAGACGAATGTTCTCCCCCAGACACCTCAAAAGGGTTTAGTAAAGCCAAACATTGACAGTCCGACCATGTGGGACAAATTCGCACAGCACAACCCCGGAAAAATCACAAAACGACAGGCATACCCTTGGTTACGTCCCTGACCTGGCTCTGTCCGGGAGAACCTCGGGTGGCGCGAGCTCTGAAGGGGCGGCGTGACACCGCGACCGCCCACGGGGCGTTGAAAAGGCCCGAATGGCCGCGCCAACGCCATCGTCGCTCCCCTGCCCAGCCCTCCCCCCTTGACCCCCCACTCCGGAAGATATACTTCCAGCCGCACGGTGGCCGTTTTGTCGCCGAAGAGGAGACTCAGCGCGACTGTAGATGGTGATCGCATGTTTTGGGGAAAACGTGGGACTTCCAGGGACTTCCAGAGAGCGCTCCAAGCATGGCAGAAACACAGGAAGCTGACCATTATCGCACTGGGTCACTTCCTTGCGTGAGACGACAGTCAAATTTAGATCAGGCACGGTTGTTACTTCTTAAAGGCGTAACCTCTGAGCCTTTTATCGCACTTCGCATAGTCACTCAACATCTCCAGGTTCAATGGACACGAAGATCCCGTACACAGACCTATAGCCACACAGCGAAGCGTTGGTTTTCCACGTTTCCATCAGCTCTGAGGAGCATATAGGTCAGTGACCCAATAAGGTAGCAAGTTAAAACTTTTAGTCAGGTGTACTACGTTTGCAGCTAGGCTATTCCTCACATCTTCCCTCATTTCCCTGACGTCTGTGGCAAGTGATTGTCTGACCATATACTTACATCCAGTATGGGTCATCGCCACCCTCCTGCTTAGCCACCTGTATTGGGTACTGCCCGTGGCGCAGTACCGTGTATCGGGTGTTAAGGTGTGGGACCTAGAATGACTGCTTATTTTGAAATATTTCTATTGGCAATGCCCGCCCAGATTGGGGCTATTTTACTCTATTCTACTCTATTTTTGACTGACTTTTGATTGACTCCATTTTTCCGTGTATTTGTCTTAAACGACATTTATGTTTAATCTCGTTCCCTCGCGTTTACCAGTACAGTTCGAAACGTCGATTTTTGCGGCATAAGCACTGCTTTCCTCAAAGCATCGTTTCACGCGCGCCCGGGTGGCCGGTGGGATACCACACGTTCGGGTGGGGATCAATTTGACCCCGCCACTAACATCACAAACCCTTACGGGAGCCGGAGATACCAAATTTACAGCGTGGATCAACCTGTATGTGAGCTCGCTTGCGTCAAAATTTAAGATTCCTAGTTTATGGACTTAATGTCGAATAAGGTCAAACATGGTCAAACTCTACATTGGTGCCCCAAGTGCCCCCACACCTTCTCACACAACAGCCTTGAACCTAGACACCCGTCCTAAGCAAAATACAACTGGTGTTCGCGTAAGGTTAGTGACCTTGTTTGACCTTTAAAACGTCATAGTGACTAGAAACCTACGAGATTCTTTGATTCTTTAACTTGAATGAGCGTCAGGGACTGCGCTAGGCCCTATGGTTCTTAAAAATGAGGTTAATCCGGGTCATTTTAGGTCAGTGACCTACTTGACCTTAGATACATGCATGGAACATATGTTGCAATCCCTGCTTTTAACAAAATCGAAATGGGCATTAGAAACTTCTCCATTACGCAATTTATCCAGTGAAAAACAGGTTGGTTTTTATCCCGGTCTGACCTTTATACCTGACCTAAGGGCACTGGAATTTGTCATAATCCTAAATTCTAGTCTGTCTAAAGAAAATATCTCAGAGGTGTATAACTTCGGTTAACGCTCCGTTGTCGCATCCGATTGAACGACTCCCTAGTAATGACATTCGCTGACAGCCAATGCCTAACTTTGACCTGTCATGGGTCAGCAATCTTACAGGGTACATACAATTTTTATTAAAAAAGATCCATAATTAAATTGTCTACACCTGGGCAGAAATTGCCGCGGCTACACTACACCTTTCAGAAATTATTCAGAAAAACCTTCGGGGGGGGGGGTCAAACTGACCTTAATCCGAGAGTATGTTAACCAGTAACTCCTGCTACACTGAAGGCAGACTGTTGTATGCATACAAACACCCACCATGCTGAGAAAACCAGGGGCTCAAGGTTTTCCTTGCTTATGTGAAGCTATCGGGCTAACCCATGTGAGTACTCGAAGGACACCAGTGGCTTGCGATGGCCCTCTCAAGGTTGTAACGGTCATATTTCGCAGTGACGCGACATATAACCCACGTTTGTCGACGAATTATCGCGCAAATGAGACCAATCTATGAATCAGAGCTACGAGATCAAATAATCCATGGTCATTTAAGGTCAAATGTGAAAAACTAACACCTATCAAGGAACAAAAGCTGGCCTATGAAGCATGTGGGCTTTTTTGGTTTACATAGGAGCCATTGTGCTGTAGTCCGACATGCACTATCCAACGTTCTTTGCTTTATTGCCGCAACATCATGGGTTGCTAAGATAATGGGTGCAGCCTACGTACACTTGTCCTGAAACTAATAACATAATTTTAAGTCCCGGGCCCACCCAATGATCGACTACTACAGGTACACGATCCAGTTTGCCAAGGAATCGTTACGGAATTTGCCATACGGAATCGTTTTTCCAACCACAATATCGCGCAGCTTTCTCACATAAAATGGATACCCAAATTCGCTGATTCCCCACTCATTTTCGCTTTACCTCAACCTTTGTTATCAAAAAAGGATTATATATATATATATATATATATATATATATATATAGTTTTGTGTTAGTAACGATATCTACTCTTGGCGAACTGACATCCCACTCGTTCGTTTTGTGCGTTTCCATAACGAACCAAGGACTCGGACCTGGGCTGTGTGTATCAGATGCCGACTCTTACTTGGATTCGCCGCAGCACTGTCTCAAACTGAACATCCTATTGTCAAGCTCAAAGCGACTTGGAATAACCCGCCTCAAGTCACGTTGGACTATTGCCACTGCACACCAGCACCGTGACAATACTCGTATACAATATGCATATGCATATGTATATATATATATATATATATACACATATATATACACATATACATATATATATATATATATGTATATATATATATATAATCAACCTGTATATATATATATATATATATATATATATATATATATATAGGGTTATTCCAAGTCGCTTTGAGCTTGACAATAGGATGTTCAGTTTGAGACAGTGCTGGGGCGAATCCGAGTAACAGTCGGCATCTGATACACACAGCCTCAGGTCCGAGTCCTTGGTTCGTTATGGAAACACACAAAACGAACGAGTAGGATATCAGTTCGCCAAGAGAAAATATCGTTACTAACACAAAACTTGCAGCAGGGCACCTTATGCCTAACTCGTCCAAACCGAAGCCCATTCTAACCATCGCTCACCCTGTTTCAGGTCTTGGTCAGCCAGAAACCGCATTGGCATCCAATTTCAGTCACGCAATGACGGCTTCTACGAAGCCAAAGTATAAGCCAATCTGGCACAACCGAGCTCAATTACTTCTTTACAAAACCCACCTGACCTGAACAGAAATCAACCTGATCCACCAAACCTAACATGACCCACCCAACCCAGCATGACCCGCCCAACCAAACCCGACCCAACCTGATCCGGCCCAACCCGACCCAACCCAGCCCAGCCCAACCCAACCCAACCCAACCCA